GTGAGTTTCTGTCAAATTTTGATGCCAGAATCCACAGAACGCAGGACTTGGTACGAGATTGGCTTGTCTGACTTTACATGAGAGTGCAAAGGAATCGATTTGGGTACGTCTCTTCAACCGATCTCGAGACCGGGAATCAGAATGAAGAAGCCGTTTGGCTGGCCGCTAGGTCTTTACCAGCAATCATACCACAAATTGAAGCTCCATTACGGCGCAGTCAGCGAATACATACAGTAGAGCCTCAACAGGATGAATCTCAAATCAAACCAGAATATATATCAATATCCGGCGTGGGACTGACCTCAATCCTGCGTAACCGCAAGCGACCTCAAATGGAATGGATCTCGTATCGACTGCAATTGCAATTTGCAAGCGCGGTCCAATTGCCACTCAACCGCCATGGAGCGGATGGATAGTTCCGTTATTTAGGTGCTGGGTAGGGACGAAAGAACGCGCATGTGGGATACGAGTGGCAGTGAGAACAAAGGATGCGCGGAGGCGTGCAGAGGAAGCTGGAGAGGAACTTGAGGGAAATCTGCCCAGGCTCGCTCACGTCGACGAGAAGCACGTTCACGTTGAGGAAGATGAGGAATTCTTGCAAGATCCACGATCAATGCTTCACCGCCGAGAGCCGACATATATACATGGAAAACGAGACAGCGTCTGAGTGAGACAAAACGGTAGGCGAAACGAGGGATACATAGTGTTTAGCGTTCGAGGTTTAGCGGCCGGAGTTTATCTTTTGAACTTCAGGGGGTAGCGTTCAGGAAGTAGGGGAGAGGTGAGGTGAGTCGTCAGATGTTATGGAGCCGGAATGCGTCTGGGATTGAATTGGATGAGCGCGCCGGAAGCGGCATTAGCAAGGAGGGAGGGACTTGCATACTCAGATTATACAGCATGTGCCAGACACTATTTAAAGGAGGAAGTGGATTAATCTTAATGCACCAGCCGAGAAAGTTTGACGCCGATTATACTCCGGCCAGGATTCAGAAGCCTAGATGACAGCGGATGCTTCGAGTCGGCATTGAGATTGGTTGGGAGGAGTTTGGCAGTGGGAGGAACTTCGAATTGGGATCGGCATTGGCAGTGGGACGCGCGTGGAGAAGGACATGGACATCTGCGAAGTGAGCCCAAGTAGCGCGACCTGACGGAAGAAGAAAATGGACCGCCATCATATGTGCGTGTAGTGATTTCAGCGTGTGAGTATGGAAGGCAAGGCCCTGGGCGCGCGTCTTGAGAGAAGACAGATATTGCAGAAGGGGGGGCGAGATCTAGTTATGGAGTTGCACGCGAAAAATTGGGAGGAAGGAGAGAGAATTCCAGAAAGGATGACCCAAGCTACGGAGCAAAGACACAGCGTAGTATTGCGGACTGAGTAGTGAAGGCGCCGATAGATTGCGGGAGGGAGGGCCAGGATGGCACAATGCAGACACGCGAGGGCGTGGACGGACGGAGACGATGGAGTTAAACTACGCAAGCCTAATTGAGGCCGCGCCGACGTCTGCGATAGATCATTTGGGCAGTATCTGAGTAGACACCCCGAAAGAACTCTCAGCTCATCAAGGCAGGTTCAAACTTCAAGATGCCTCGAGGAAAAAAGTTCTTCGTCGAGACTCGATGTCTATCTGCTTGGAAGCTCAATAGCGCTCAATCCCGAAACTCTTTTGATTCAGATCGTTTCGCATCTCGCCGTCGGATGTACCGGTCGTGGCGTGTCCGATCGCGTCGCAGCTGAAGCCTGGATAGATGTGATTCGGGAGCGAGGCATTCAGAGCAGTTGTTACAATTATGGGGTTGCAAATAGGGCTCAGAGCGGAGGATCACAGCGAATCCCGGGCGGAACGTCGGTGTCTCCGAAAGCGGTTGAGCGGGAGGTTTATGATGTTCAAGTCGGGGACACCAGTGTGGCCAGAGTCCCCGGCGAAAGAAAGGACTCTTGTCCGCAGAGAAGCACGGACGACAGAAGATGGAGAAGAGAAGAACGAGGAAAGATGACTCGAATGCAATCAGTGGCTGTGCTCCGAGTTTTCCCTTCCGCTTTCTTCCGTCGACATATTCAGCTTCTACACCCAGTGCTCTCTCCTGGTCAAATATCTCCTCGAATGTAACGCTAACCTATCCACATTGTCAAGTCTGTACTACCAATGCTCGTCTCCTTCCCTGTGCACCGTCGTGGCTTCTCACAGATTCACAGATAGTAAGGCTTGGAATCCTTGGATTCGAGGACTCGTGGCGCGAGGCTGCTCTTTACTCTCTACAGCCCATCCAAGAGCCCATATGGCAGTAGTATGTGTTGAAGCAGGGGCTCGACTAGCCATAGTTCGCCTTGGCGGCGCTCCTCCATCAATGCATCTCATCGCATATTTCTACAGCCTCTCTTACAGCTTTACAGCTTGTTTACAGCTACATACAGCTTTACGCAGTACGACAGCTTTATACAGCATTTACGAATACTTTAAATAGTCTTGTTCTCGGAGACCGTCCTCAGTCGTTCACCTGATTGTGCCCGACTGAGGTACGTTCTCCGTTCTACTTACTTCCCATTTCATCCTTACTCATTTATCTCTTAGCTATTCGTTTAACAGGTACTGAATATATAAGTCGTTCACCTGATTGTGCCCGACTGAGCTATTCGTTTAACAGTATGATATGCATCCTCCGTTCACTGTTCTCTCCATCCGCCGATGCGAAAGACATACACTCTTTTCTCCTGCAGCTGGATTTCCATTCCGTGAAGTTTGGGATTGAAACCGACCCGCTCACTGGAAGGTCGTTGCCAGTGCGGCATTTGTGTCTCTCGATATACTATAGGCGGGCGCTCGTCCGACTCGCCACCCCGTACTCTGCGCGCCGCGTACCACAATCCGACAAACGGCGGCGCAGCGTCAGCGTGCGTGGCTCACGGGCCGGTCTTCAAGACACGGACTGTAACTTCCGACGCAGGAGATTCGCGTACGTGTTCAATCCCTCCCCCTCCGCCTATTTTCCCACCGTTGGCCCATCGCCATGTCATGTATCCGCCCGCACAACATCTGCACCCGAAAACAGTCATCGGAGACCTCATACCGGTGCGCCCCGAGAAGGTGTCGTCGACGCGCGCGTGCACCTCCACCCACCGCAATCGGTTCCTCGTCAAGTTGCCGTCGAGCGCTGTTCTAGTCCTCAAATCGTGAAGCGTTTTCCTGAATCTCACTACTGTCAGAATCAAGCCTTGCCGCAAGTATGTAATCCCAGCCGGAGTAGTTAAGTGGGGTCTAAGAGACCGTTTAAAGTCGGGGCAATAAAGTCGGGCAATAAATGCAATAGGGGAACACAGATATTGAGGTACAATTCACACTGGACGAGAAACTGCAGTATTCGCTACGAACTCATGCTATCTTGAAGTTTCCCTGTACCCTATCGGTGGGGCTATTTTAAAAACCAAGTTAAAACTGAAGGGCGAACAAAAAAGCTGTTGCCACCAGATACATCTCGGACGCTGGGAGTTGAACACAGAACACCTGCATGTATGTATCCATGTGCACATATTCCTTGCAGGGTTGCGCCGCGCACCACATCTGAGTCGTATCTTTCAAGGTGGCCCGACCTAAGTGAACTGGAATTTCAGCACCGGGGATGCACAGAATAACCCTCACATTGCGGAATGGCGGAGCGGAATGGTCCGCTTTTCAACCACAACCAAATAGTGCTTGCTCCTGCTCAAATCCTGCGTCATTCCTTCTGCTGCGGCCACTATCCATGCATCCGAAAACAATCTGCACTGTCGTTTTGTTCAGGCCCGCAACATGGAGTATTCTCGTTGAGTTGTCGGGAGGCGACTGGGACCTCGAATATATTTCTTGATTTGTTGCAAAGCTGCACCACAAGGATTAGTACTATTCACAGGGATGCGATGTGATACCAAAAACGTGAACGATATAGCTCACACACGGTGGAATGGAGACCAATATCCAATCAAACACAGTAAACACTATGAAGTCCATCTCGCGGGGATTCGTGCCGAGACTAAAGCATCAATATTCTGCATGAAGAAACCGACGAAGCCTATCTGCGGGCAAAAAAAGGCCGCTCTCATCAAGATATCTCGGACGCTGGGAGTTGAACCCAGAACACTGGTCTACATCATATATCCCATATTGTGAGCAGGCGAGCTCCGCGCACCACGTCCGATTTATTATAGCCTTCACTTCGGGGTATCCGAGGTGAGAAGCCACTGTAAAGTCAAAGTTTCAAATTGAGAGGTGCCTACCTCCATGGAAGTTGGAACAGATGGAGGGCCCAGGGCTCACGCTGGGAGTGGTAGATTCCAGATGCGGGATCAATCAAAGTTTTCCCAGGGAGATTCTAGAAGTGGGCAAGTAGTCGTAGTTGTAAATCCGAGGAAATACGCCTGGCGCTGTGAGTGCAGCCATAACCGAATGGGCCACGGGCCTCTCGCGCTGTGAATCATCGATGATGAGGAACAGTAGTATGCCTTGACCTGAAATTGGTCAATTCTGGTTGAACTCACAAACGACTTCCGATCGAAATCACCCAGAATTATTGCTCCCGCTTCTGAACGCCCAAGGTCAAACCGTCGGCTGATGCATACACTGGAATATATGGAAGGAAAAGAAGACTTGTATGAACATTTTTTGTACAAATACCTGCGGGCGATATGTGTAAAACTAGATCTTGAAATTGATAGCTCGGACGCTGGGATTCGAACCCAGAAGACCTGCTTGTACACATGTAAGAGCAATCTGATCTTTAGCAGGGGTGCACCGCGCACCACGTCCAATGGGTTGTACACTGTGTCCGGTGGCATTGGTCCTGCGGTTAGCGAGTTTTGGCAGGTGGGCATTCCGATATGTGTTAATTTCTATTTGTTTTCAAGAGATGGGTACGTGGCCGCTATTGTCAGAATCACAGTCAGCGAAGGTAACGCTGCCATCAAATATAAGGCCCACCGTTCATTCATTCCTGTAAGTCAGTGGAAGCCCGGACGAATAACAAAAAATCTCGAACGCTGGGAGTCGAACCCAGTACCCCTGCTTACAGTAGTTTTTTTAGCTTCATATATATTCTGGGCAGGAGTGGCCCGTGCACCACGTCCGAGCTACTGTGGCATGTGTGTTCACTGTACAGTTAGTAGCTTACGCGAGTTGCTCTCTTGGTATACGAATAAATTTGTCGCCGTCGTGAGTGGACTGGAGTGGATTAGCGACGGCCCGGACTGTAAGCGAGACGGATTGTTAAGGGAATCAATAGCTTAATGCACTGTGCGAATGTACGAGCTCCCACTGCACTGGAGGGATGGGTAGTCATTTAGCGGCGGCGCTGCTGCGGAGAACAGGGAACTCCGGAGGAACGGATTGGATTTCGCGACTTGAAAGTGTTTCGCGAGTTGATTTGGGCGCTGAGAAGTCTCGTAGAAGACGCGGTAGTAGGATTCGCCTGAAGGACCGTGAACGTCCAAGGGGGTTCAGATCGGCAAATGCCGAACCGTGGGATGGTCGGTCGGTCGGGTCTTCGAGCCTTAATTTTTTTTCTGGGAACACATATTTTTTTGGTTGAAAATGAACAGGAATGTGGTTCACAAGCATTTAAGCATAAGACTACGATGTAGTACTCTATCTGATCTGAATTGCCGACGGGAAGCTGGAATTGCTGCTTCCAGATTTTTTTTGCACTTGAGTCTCTCTTCCATCCACCATGAGAGCTGTCCCAAACGAGCAATCAACAATGCAGCCATCTATTCAGTACTTGCTACCAATCCTCAGTACTGTTTTCACGGTATCGGAGAGTTCAGTGTCGAGATGGTTGGATTTGTGAAGTGTTTTTGATCAGAGAGTTGTCAGGTTACAATATTCACCAAGATAGGTTACGAAAGGATCCAGTCCTTGCGTACTTTAAAACTTCTGTACTAACCTGGGCAGGATTTCATGTAACTGGCACCGACGGTCGAACTAGGATTGGGAGGATTGACAACGTGCCGAGAGCTTGCCGACAGCCGAGGCACGTGGAATTCCCTTACGGGGATAGAACGGTCGGTCGGTCGGGCCTCCAGCTCTTATTTTCAAAAACCGACCCCTGTTCACTTATTAACAAAAGTGAACACCCTTGTGAACGTCGAGAGCAAGATCCAGGTGATCGCATCACTCTTTGCCGAATCGGAATGATCCGAACGGAGTCGCTCCTCTTTCTTCCGACGACATCCATGGGGGGAGCTCTGAATCAAGGGTATGCACTTTTGTGAATAGGTGAACAGGGGTCGGTTTTTGAAAATAAGAGGTGAAAGCCCGACCGACCGACCGTTCTATCCCCATATGGAGGTTTCACGTGTCTCGGCTGTCGGCAAATCTCGGCTCGTGACCAAACCCGAACCAAATCCTCCCTGAATCTTTGTGCAGCTACCAAGGATGTCGCAACAAAGTCTACCAACATTGCCCTACACATTTAAAGCACACTACACCTTCCCTCTGAGTCACGGAACTCACTATCAAAGCATGTTGGACAACCCTTTCTGTTCAATTTATGTTGCCTTTATGTACTGGCAGCAACTTGCACATCACACAGTAGAGGGCTCGCAGGGATACACTGCAAGTGTGGCTTGGTACAATTGAAAGAACTCATTGGTGCACTGGTCTGTCGAAAGGATTTCATAGTCTTCGGGATCATTGTTCCCGGATCCGAGACAGTTCCATCACAGGAAATTTGTAGTCTCTTATAAACAGACGCTACAACTGCTAGCTCGCAAGCTCGCGATGTTGTAGTCTGTCGATTACCAGAGGGGCTTGATCGGAACCTAGCCTTATTACGTAAAGGTGACAAGTTTCGCGTCCCGTCACACGCGTTACATTCAACATCGACGTGTTTCTCGCCTGACCACAGAAGAATCAGGGATATTTTACGCGTCAAAACTTTGTTTGAGCAGGGGTGCAGACATCTCCCACCAAAACTTGTGAAGTTCCGGTCGGGAAATGTCGCCGATTGCGTTCTTTGACGTGCTTTCACAATCTAACTCTATGTAACTGACTTTTACGGCGAGATAAAACCCACTTGAATGTCCTTCAAGGATGTACCACCTCCTATCGCTCATAATATTTTACAGAGGGAAGAAATTAAGCTCTAGAATGGGAACGGTGATGGTTTAAATTGTAGAAGCAAATAATCTTGCAGAAGAATAAATCTGCAGTAACATAGATGTACTCCGACCCACTCGTATGCCAAGACAGAACTTTCTAGCTCCAACTGACCGCCGGATGATCGAGCTTTGCGAGAACAACCCTGTAAACAAACGAGTGACCAACGTTCAACCTCGCGATAACCGGAAATCAAGTAACAGCATGCCAACCGGAAAGATATCAGCAAGGGAGATGGACATATCGGTGGCGCTCGCACCGAAACAGAAGCTCATTTGTCAATGCTCCCCATTTCGCCACTCGGTTCTGGCATCGGTCTTGTTTTTGCCGCTCCACATGTTCAGCAACATTAATAATTGTCTACCGAGGTAAACACAATCGCCTATATATCCACCATGTCAACGCGTACCGGAGCGACGCTGAAACGTATCGCTGGAATTAGTATTTGCATCGTGGAAAAAAAGAGATACTGGCTCTGCGCGAAACCGAGATGAATTGAGAGTGTGACATCTACAGATAGTATCTCATTTCAACGCAAGTGAATGGTGAAAGAATATCAGACCTTCGCACTGAGCTTGCGTCGGTCATTCGGAGCAAACAGGAGTAATATCCTGACGACGTTCCAGGACTTGCTGTCCATCGCCGAGCCGCAAAAATGCGCTGGAAACGGCAACACGGGATGGGATGGGCAGGACGCTGGAATGAACGGGCTGGGTCTTCAACTGGCAGAGCAAGGTCGAAGCTACGAGCAGGTGAAGATGAGCTGTGATAAACAAGGGAATTCGAAAGTAGGAAGGAGTACAGAAAGAAATTCAGCGACAAGACAACTCACCGTTTTCCCAGCTCGAAAACGGAGGTGGTGAAGCTGAGGAAGGAGAGCCCATTCTGCACCCATACCCTGCGCTTTCCAGTGGCAGGTATGGTTTCGTTCGAGACCTGGAAGTGCTTGATGTCGAGACCGTGGCTTAGAATCTCGACGCTGGCGTGAGGATTGCAGCCTGCCGAGTCCTCAATCAATCAATCAATCAATCAATCAATCAAGGATCAAGGATCAATTAAAGTGCGCGCGGGCCCCTGGGGGCCCATGCAGCACTACTGTACTGTCTCGACCAAGTGTTCGCGGGGTGTTACGCGTTATGCAAAGTGTTCACCAAAGTAAGTGTTCACTTGGCAATAAATTACCATAAAGGGAGTGCCGGGCCGGAAAAAAACGGCTGTTCGCCCCGATTTATGCGATTTTGAGGTGTACGTTACGGTTACGGATGTCCCAAGTGTTCAGTTCACAGGTCTCCGTTACGCGTTATGTGAACACCCGGTCGAGACAGTACAGTATACTAAGTACATGGTGGTAATCTAGTGTTCATGGAGTGCGGGCCGTGTGCAGGTAGACGAGGGAGGGCGAGGTAACAATGGTGGTGGCTATGAGGGTGGTTTTGAGGTGGGTTCTGAGGCAAGGTATCAAGACAGTAAGTAAGCGATATAACGAGATTATGAGGTTGTGGGAGAGAAATGATAGTTAAGAGAGAGAGAGAGGAAAGATGGGAGAAGAGAAAAGAGAGACAGAGGGAGGGAGGAGAGGTGCGGCGGCAGGGTTAGACGGTGTAGCGTGGGAATCGGCCCGTGGCTCGGACGAATGCGAGGACGGGTTTGGGGTCTGCCTTGGTCGAGATGAGGCGGCGGAGGGAGAGGCGCGCTGTGCCGATGCGGATGATAAGGTCAAGTCGCTGGCGCCGGTATAGTGGACACGCCAGCAGGAAGTGCGAGACTGTCTCGGGGACGAGACATCGGCTGCAATCGGGGGAGGGCCCAAGGTGGAATCGGTGGAGGAAGGCATTGAGGCCGATGTGGGTGGTTCGCAGTTGCGTGATGATGCTGCATTGCGGGCGGGTGAGGTCGTCATAGAGGCGCGAAACGGCATTGGAGGGTTTGGCAGAGTCGAAGAGGGAGAGGCGTTGCGAGCGGGGGGAATTGGACCATTCGGCGTGCCAGCGGGCTCGGAACGCGTGCGCGCCGGCTGCGACGGCGGCGGCCCTGCTGAGCGGGAGGGTGCCCTCAAGGTCACGGATTCGCGAAGCGAGTGGTGTGGACGTGCCTTGAGCTGCTTGCTTCGCGCGTGCGTCGACCTCTTCATTCCCGTCAATGCCGATGTGCGCAGGGACCCAGTGAATCCGGACGCGGAGAGTGCTGCGGGCGCGGTGGAGGCGGCGGAGGAGAGTATGGAAGGTGGCGAGTAGGTATTGGCCGGGCTGGGATTTGGGTGAGGTAATAGCAGAGATAGCGGGTTGGCAGTCCATGAAAATGTCTGCGCTCGTGAGCCTCGGCGTCGCCTTGATGATGTCGAGCGCCAGGATGGCGCCGATGACCTCTGCCTCGAAGACAGTGTGTTCATCCGTCGTGCCCATGTGCAGCATTCGGTGAAGCGCCTTGAGTATTCCCGCCGCGTTGGATTCCTCGCGTGGTGTCTGCGGTTCTGCAGATGCCCCTGGCGCTTGAAGCTGCGCTGCGCTCCTGCTCATCCCCTCGCCTCCATCGCCGCCCCCAACCGGAACCGTTGCGACGCCGTCTGCTGCGTCCCCGCTTGGGACCCGAATAGCCCCTGCCGCGCTGACATCCACTGCGCCCGGGATGAGTGCACCAAGCACGGTCCTCCTGTGGCGCATTGATGCCGACTCCAATGGCGTTGTAGCATGATTGTGTACCTCTCGACTGTCCGCCGAATTATTTTCTTCCACGTGTATTATAATGACTGCCCGTCGCCGTAGCCTGTCTTGCATTGTCTTCGGGAATGTTACAGCCTACTAGTACCGTCCAAGGGTCGTTTCGAGGATTCGGGATAAACCCACTCCGGTGCGTTGGCAACACTTGGTGTGTCGGGCGCTCGACAGTCGGGAGAGAGTTTGAGGAAGGCGCGCGAAGAAGCACGATGTCGTGGCGCCTGCTAAAAGCCCGTGGGAACCTATTCAAACACCGATG